GCTTAGCAACATGCTAACACCAAATTAATCGATTCTCTTGTGCCTCACACAAGGAGTTGCCTATGCGAAGTCTTTAAAAACAGTCACTTTCAAAGTTCCATTTATGTTAGGATGCTGCATAAAGAAGTAGCTGTCTATATACACAACTACACAGCTCACTAGATTTGAGAAGAACTACTGTTTTGTGGGGTTATGGTTTAGACAGTATGTGGGTGATTTCAAAATCTGTCAGGATATGATGTGCTTGGTGAATGCATGTGTATTGCTGCAGGGGGTATACACACACACACACACATTCTTATTGCATATTTTGCATATGTCTGAGCTCTATACTCTTTGCCCCATAGTGTGTTTACTCTAGAAAGCTGGTTGTGAGGAGCCCGGTCATAAATATCTGTCATAACGCACCCTCCATTCAATTCTCCATAGACTTCTGCCTCAGGCTACTAACTGACTGAGTGTATGTGTGTGTGTTTCAAATCTACATCACTACTGTCTCAGCTGGAAAGCTAGTTAGTATTCAGTTTGTTCTCTCCGCACCTCCCACACACATTTCCTCATTTTTTTTCATCCTGTCTTTGCCTTCATTCTTCACTTCTTTGCTTTTTTCTTCATCTTTTTGGTTCCCGACAATGTTTCTGTATCTTTGAAAACACTAGACTGCTTAATCATAATCGGAGCATGCACCACTAAAACTAGTTTGCAAATTTAATTAATTTTTATCAAGGAGACTTGGGAGCAGATGCTAGAGCATTTGGCACATAATGGAAAACATGGGGCGGCAATATTAACATTTTAATCCCACAGGGATATGACAGTTTTCTTTTTTTTCTGTTATTCTTTTGCATTTTCAAAGACAGGCCTCACCAAAGGCAGAAGGACATGAAAATCTAGACACCCATAGGCCATTCATGTTTGGCACATCTTTAATATTTCAATGATTTCTCATAGACAGCAATGAATGGATAAAAAACGTTTAATTCTACATGAATTAGCAGTTTCTTAACATTTTATCAAGATCCAATGCAGAAGGACATGAAAATCTAGACACCCATAGGCCATTCATGTTTGGCACACCTTTAATATTTCAATGATTTCTCATAGACAGCAATGAATGGATAAAAAAAACGTTTAATTCTACATGAATTAGCAGTTTCTTAACATTTTATCAAGATCCAAGTAGTCTTACTTTTAGTAATCTCAGTTTTCATTTTACCTCTGGAAGTTTCAGAAGAGAACTGTCAATGGTTTAAACTATGGTTTCACTCAGTCTGCCACCATCATTAATGATTTTAAACATTGTTCATCAAATTCTGATTTCATCAAATCAAAGTCTGATTTGTCTGATCTATGCTATCCACATTAATTTGATAGTTATGTCCTCTTAATGCATGTCAATATTTGTCTCATTTGTTTACATTAGATATTTCAGGAGAAATACCTGCAAAATTTTTTTTAAACATAACTAGAAAAATTATACAAGGCCATCTATGCAATAAAATTAAAAAAGAGCAGGTTGGTTTGTAATTCAGGTGCTGTTACTCACCCTGCTTGTTCTGAAGTTGCTTTAATGCTGGAGAGAGCGGGATACTTGTAGCACCTGCATGAAAAACAACTGCCGTTAAAAAGGCTTTTGTCACAGTGAAAATGCAGCTAAGTTTTACAGACAACAGCAGCATCATTTCAGCATTTTATATTAGTAATGGCATATTGATTTTACTCAGCTGTAATGTTATTGGTGTGGGTCACAGTTAATAAGTGCCCTTTGATCTCTGACCTTTGGGCGAGTGACACCACTTGTGCTCTTGCTGACCCCATCAGTATTGTGTGTGACCTATATGGCACAGAGGGCAACCAGGCTTTTGTACAGCCCCCATAACTTTTTACTGTATATCTAGCTCCAGTAATAAAACAGACTCTAGTGAACAAGAACAATCCAGCCGTGCTTTTCCCTCACTTCTCTTTCTTTGGGCAGGGTCACGTTTTTTGGTCCTACCTGTGCTGCTCTGCTGTTGACTGCTGCAGGTTACTGCATTCTCACTGCAGCTTTAACTGCAGTTGTCTTTCATGGTCATGACAGATGGAGAGCTTTTAACAATAATGACATTCAATGGCCTTTCCCGCTCCTGGCTTTGCATAACTACGGCTGTGAGGCCCTGCAGGCCATTGTGCATATGTCTGTGTGCATGCGTGGAAGTAGTTGACAGTAGACAATGCACTTACCAGCCTTCCGCCAGATCTCCTCGGGCAGGTAGCCTGATGGGGGACGGTGCAGGAAGTCTCTGTGAATTTCTGTAAAAGAACATGAAAAAAGCGACTTGAGTTTACCTGGATGAGAGAAAAGCTTCTTATACTCCCTCAGACGTGGAAAATACCAAAACAATATCGTATAACTCTGAAATCATGACATGCTTTTGGAGGTTGACAACCAGATGTGACGCATAAATATTTTTTAGTCCTCATTAAAACAATCATATTGACAATTTTGTTGTTTGCTTGTTTTATTTTTCTGTCTCATAACACTGAGTAACCCCTCCCACAGTGAAATTTCATTGGTACAAAATTCCTCATAGCTGTATAATAAACATTGAATATGTTGTGACTGCCAGTGTCGTGCATTTATTTTTGGTTTCAATGGCAACAGAAAAATTACTTTGCTGGGAACTTTGTCGTGCCTAGTTAGGACAGTGTTTCCCAACCCTATTCCCAGAAACCTACAGTACTGCACATTTTGGATGTCTCCCTTTTAGACACCTAATTCAAATCATAGATCACTGTACTAATTACTCAGGTGTGTTGGCTTACAGAGACACCCAAATACAGTATTGTGAGTCCCAAGGAACAGGGTGGGTTAAGACAATGCTGTGACAGACAAGGATTAGCTGCCCCATGCCCTGGCTGTAGACTAGAAAAGGTAGGGTAAAGACAAACTGTAAGGTAAGGTAAGTGGGCTAAATGTGGGATCATATGCTGACTGGTCATCTAAAAAACAGGTCAGATTTTTTTGAAGTATAGTTTTAAATCGCATTCATCTGAGTGGTGTGTTGACTCATGGAAACCACTTAGATGAGGGTGGTGTCTGCAGTCGCTAAGAATGTGTGAGACATGCTGCATGCCGAGCATCTGCGCCTGCAGCTGCATCTGCAACGGAGCATGTACCTAGCCGTTAGTTAGCAAATATTAGCAATTTTTTGCAAACATTTCTTTGAGTAACATGAATGTAACATAAAACAAATGATTACTGTGACGAGATGGGCGGGGCCGAGAGCCGTGGGAACGGAGCAAGGCCGGTGGAGTAAATGTTAATGCGTGACAACTGCACCACTCACCGGTCTCGAGTCCCACGGAGGAGCTCCGGAAGGATAAAAGGAGGAGTGACGACAGTGTTGCACGAGAGAGGACCAGGCCTGGATTTTATTTTGTGTTTTGGTTCTGTTTGTGCGCGACAGTAGTCCGCGAGGGGCTGTCGCGCTATTTTGTGTTTGTTTTATTATTAAAGTTTTTTTCAAATGTTCACCGGTTCCCGCCTCCTTCTTCCCGAACTACGAACTTTGTTACAATTACTTTGTGTTAAAATCTTTATTAATGCCAAAAATGCTTACATTTGTCTTTTTGTTCGCTCGGGCAGCCATGTTGCCCCTGAAGCCGGTTTATGCTGAGATAATTAGTTTATGCTAAGGGGTAGAATTAGGATTGGGCCTAAGTCTGTCAACATCCCCTCCACTATGGTGCTCTTCTAATTTGTCTTTCACACCTTTTCCCTCCTGTACTACTTTCCTATGTTCATAAGTTGACCTTGTTTTTGACTTGGTGCACCATCTTGGTCAAGTTGGTTATGGTTCTTAGATCACCTTGGACCAGCAACCAGTTAGCTACCATATTTCAAAAAACATTCTAACCACATTAATCTAATATAACTTGTGTATCCCCCATCAGAGTTAGCAACTATTATGCTCTCTGCTTTATGTATGAAAAATAATATTAAACAAAGCATCTGGTCACACATACGTTATCGAGGTGCTTCCATTCTTCAGCCCACTCGCGGTCTGTCAGCCGATGATCAATCACTTCCTCTTGACGTGCTCCATGCACGGCTGTAACACACGCACAGCACTACATTAGCATATGCACTAAACACAATAAAGAATCCATGTCCATGTAAGTGCAATTATACAATGCTGTGCATTCCTGCCATTATTTCTGCAGTTGGCAATATTACTCAAATTAAAAAGTCTAAGCCATAACCTCTGTTAGAATTAGCCATATTTAAATTTGTTGTAAAAAAGCATGTGTATATGTACACCTGTGACTGTGTATAATTTGAATTCTTGTTTAAAACATTGTGGTTAACAACACTACTTAACTATGGTAAAATCACTGTAAACTTGGCCTCAAGTAGCTTATTGGTTTATTTTACTATAGACTACAGCACTCTGACCTGTCTGCCGGTGACGATCCCGGACATCCCTCTGCTCTGCATGTCTGTAAGCATCTCTGTAGTGGTGGGCGAGTGCCATGTCTTCCAAACGGTAATGCTGTGGGGCAGGAGGGTTAGGATGTGAAAGGCCATTGGGTGGATGCGTCGGTAGGCCGTTGAGGGGAGGGTGAGCAGGTAAACCACTGCTGGGGCTGAAGCGCTGACTGGGGCTCACTGTGCATGGACGTTTGGCCAGGTGCTCCGGGTGCAAGCCATCCCTGTCCCCTGCACTCTCTTTGGTCCTGTTACAAAGATTGTAGAAATGCTTGGAAATGCTGTAGAAAGAACATTTTTAAGAGGAAGGAGGGCTATTGATAATTTTTAATTCTTGCAGTCTAACCCATCCCACGTCCCTCTTTTTCTCTGCCCCTCCACTCATGTTTTCCAAATGTTGAGGCCAGCTGTGAGCCATATGTGGACTCTAGCCTTCATATACCAAGAAACGGACTTAAATCCCAACCCCTTAATCTTTCCCGTTCTCACCCATTTCTCGCTCTCTCTCTCTCTCTCTGTCTCTCTCCTGAGCTGCTGTACTGTGAGAGCTGCTCCCTTTGGCAGATGTTCAGTGACACTGGCGTTTTGGAGCCATCTGGCTGGCCTGTGCTGCAGTGTTGATAATAATCTGTTTAGGTGAGTGCAGCAGCCAGGCATTCAGGGCTAAAGCTCCTCTCCCTTCTGCGTGCATGAAATACATGTGTGTGCGAGGACTGTGCAAGCTTGTTTTCTTGCACTTGAGAGTAGAGTGCAGTTGGCTTGGACATCTGAATCTGGCTGCATGTTCAACACCCCATCATGCCCGCCTCCACAACCAACCCAAAAACTTCCAACCTTTTGCAGCATTTCTGCAGTTGTGGCCAGATTTCCCACAAATCAAAGCAACAGCTGGGGCTCCTGCCGTGATATGGTAAGCCTAGGCTTCAGAGATGGAGGTGTATGGATTACAGTAGGGGATTGCCCATTCCTCTACCCCCACCACTCTCTTTTTCTCTGTCTCTCTCTCTCTCTCTAGTCATCCCTCCCCCCGGATCAGCTCAAGCAGGGGTTCAGCAAGATCACCATCTGGACACATCACTGACATATGGACAGCTACTGGGGAACTAACAGGAGACAGTGCGGTTGAGAGAGTAGAAGAAAAAACAAAAGGAGACAAACAAAAATATTGGTGCTTTAAATCCCACTATTAATTTTTTGATTGTCAAGAGTTCTAAATGTATCGCCAATGTATGGACACTGTTGGTATGCATATGCATTTGTGTGATGTTAGAGCATCTCAGTCTGTTTCTGCTCCATAGACAACTGGCAGCACCTGGCAGACACCCCACATATATTTTTACCTTCTCTCTACCCTCTTCACTTTCTCTTTCTGTGTGGCCTAACCTTCCCACACCCTCCACTCATTACATTGAGTGTGTGTGCATTTCAAAGCTAGACAGGAAGAAGTATGCCCAGGGCAAGGTTGTGTTGACATTTACCATAGCTGTCTACATTTTTGCCTTTTGCTTGACTTTGTAGATTTTTATGACTTAAGGAATTTGTTAGGAAAATGGTACACAGAAAGACAAGTTTGTGTGTGTGTTAAATTGTGTATACCTGTCCGGGGTACGTCTCTTGCCATGCTCATTGAGTTCCAGCATGATTTCAGAGGAGTCCAGGGGAGAGCTGGCATTGGCATCCAGCAGCAGCTGTTCGTGCTGGGCCAGATACTGTGCTGGGGTCTGCTTAGCCATCCGAGCACAGTGAAGCAGCTCCCTCTGCAGGAGGGGCAAGTTAGCCTACCAGACAGAAAGATAAATACAATGTGGGTGAGAAAGGAAAGCTTTTCTTTTTATAAAGACAAACACAAATCTCTAGGATCAGTAGGGCTGGTTTGGTGCCACTGGACCACTAACAAAATCTGGTCAGTGAAGCTCGTTGACCAGTTCTTTCTGATCAAGCTGGTTAGCTAAAGTCTAAGCTAGTTAATAAGTGTGTTGATGATACGGACTGGTTTATGCTGCTTAGTCCTAGTTTGGTAGTAATCTAGCTTATGGTTTGTGATTGACATTATTGTTTATGGTGAATGCGGACCAGAATGGCTTTCTGCATAAGCTGGTTAATAAAGTAAGTCTTGATGGTTAAGCAAGTTAAGATTCCTGGTGGGCGCAATCATTCGATTATGCTGGTTAGTCTAATTGGTTTAATACTAAGCTGGTTAATATAGTCAACTGTGTTTTTTCTGAAGCTGGTTAGCTAAAGAATTCTGGCAGTTTAGGTTAGTTAGTCTGGTGGCGACATCAGCATCCCAAGCTGGAGACCAGTATTTAAAACACAGCATATTCTGATGACCAGCTATGTTGTTATTTTAAGAGGGATTGTGTTAAGAGGGAGAGAAAGAAAGAGTTTGTGTGTGTGTTAAATTGTGTATACCTGTCCGGGGTACGTCTCTTGCCATGCTCATTGAGTTCCAGCATGATTTCAGAGGAGTCCAGGGGAGAGCTGGCATTGGCATCCAGCAGCAGCTGTTCGTGCTGGGCCAGATACTGTGCTGGGGTCTGCTTAGCCATCCGAGCACAGTGAAGCAGCTCCCTCTGCAGGAGGGGCAAGTTAGCCTACCAGACAGGAAGATAAATACAATGTGGGTGAGAAAGGAAAGCTTTTCTTTTTATAAAGACAAACACAAATCTCTAGGATCAGTAGGGCTGGTTTGGTGCCACTGGACCACTAACAAAATCTGGTCAGTGAAGCTCGTTGACCAGTTCTTTCTGATCAAGCTGGTTAGCTAAAGTCTAGCTATTTAAGCTAGTTAATAAGTGTGTTGATGATACGGACTGGTTTATGCTGCTTAGTCCTAGTTTGGTAGTAATCTAGCTTATGGTTTGTGATTGACATTATTGTTTATGGTGAATGCGGACCAGAATGGCTTTCTGCATAAGCTGGTTAATAAAGTAAGTCTTGATGGTTAAGCAAGTTAAGATTCCTGGTGGGCGCAATCATTCGATTATGCTGGTTAGTCTAATTGGTTTAATACTAAGCTGGTTAATATAGTCAACTGTGTTTTTTCTGAAGCTGGTTAGCTAAAGAATTCTGGCAGTTTAGGTTAGTTAGTCTGGTGGCGACATCAGCATCCCAAGCTGGAGACCAGTATTTAAAACACAGCATATTCTGATGACCAGCTATGTTGTTATTTTAAGAGGGATTGTGTTAAGAGGGAGAGAAAGAAAGAGGATGAGATATAACAGACACTTTCTCTGGCCCACCATGTGTTTGTACCTTGCTGAGGTCTGCAGGAGAACTCTGCTGCCTCTCTCTCTCCCTTGCTTGCTTGTTGTCTTTTTCTCTTTGGCTGTAAGTATAACACTACACAGCTGGCTGATGATACAGATGTGTAACATCAACACTCTGCAGGCCTTTGACAGCAGCCTGTGAGCAATGTGCTGGGTGCCATGTACCACAGTACTCTGCTTTGAATAAAACACTCACACTATGAGATATGCCTTGTGTAGTCTATATCTCACTAACACGCGCACAAGCATAGTGGAAGATGGGGGGTGGGGGGGGCCTCCATGGCAACTTTCCTCACCAAACATTTTCTTGTTCCATTCTGCGGTCAATAGATATATTATCTCTCTACACCCAGTTGTATTAGTATGTCTGTATATTGAATAGGTTGAAATTTGAGTTTAAGCATGTGAATGTGTTTTTGAATTATTGTCTTTATATATATAGTATTCCTAGATTTTAAGCTGGTCAGGGGAGTGTGGCGTATGACTTGAGGCCCCTTCAGTACTAGAACATTCTTTCAGCACCCAACTTGGGACTGACATTTTAAATCTGTGTTATCACTACATGTATTTCATTGCCGTAGTAAAGCATGTGAATGGGTTGTATGTTTACCAGACACAGAGATGACATATGTATGTCTGTGCATTCACATGTGTGTTAGGGATGTGGTGACATTGATTCAGGGAGTTACAATGCAGCATATTTTTTGTCTATCAAAATTTTGCAATTAAATATGCAATCAACATAGTGATTTCCAAGTGACTGAATTTTACATTCTGATTATGCTTTTGTATGCATAAATGCAGAATAATTTGAGAAAGATTTGCAATGCATCAGAGAATCTGTGTATGTGTCTGAGCCCTGGATCTATGCGATGTCTGAGGACAGAAAGAGATCAGCACAAAAACAACAGCGGCAGAGCAACGGAAAGCTATGCTGCTTATAGCACCCACTGCAACATCTGCCAGGAAATCTTCTTTGGCCCACACCACTCCTCTCTACTCTGGGTAAACACAAGTGTGCCAATTTTAATGAATCACAAATGATGGCCATATGGAGCACTAGATCAGCCCAGCCACAGCAGAGTGTGGGGGTTGGAAGGGGCCAAGGATGCTTTATCAAATGGACTTCACTCATCTACACGTACAGAAAACCATGTATCCGGGGTCAGGGAAATGCAGAGTGAGTCTGCTTATGTGTATGCCGATTCTGGCTGCCATCTATCTACCTTCTTTTTGTTTGTCACTTTGCCTGTCTGTCTCAAAGTCCCACTACCCTCCTCCTCCAACCCTTCCCATATGGTGCACCATAAGGAAAAGCTCCTCGTACAGATACACGGCGGAGTAGTCTCCGCTTCAGACACCACATCCACAGACTGTTCACCCATTGTATGATGCATGTTGCATAAAAATGGCAAGAGCTTTTTCAAAAAGCAACTTGATTGGCTGGTTTTATAAGGCATAGTACATGCATTTATATCAGTCTGCAGGGAAACAAAATTCCCTGGCTGTTACAAAGAGCACTTCCAAAGACAAACTCTTGATTGCTGGACAAAGTTTGAATGGTTCATGCTCTCAAATCTTTGATGATATGCAAAAGTTTTGTTTGTTATTAGAAAGTAAACAAGATATCCTTAAGCGTACCTGTATATTCCACTTTTCTCTCGGAGTTGTATGTGATTTACCAACTCCTAAAGTTAGGTTGGTTGCTTTATAGTTAACCAGACGGCCCCTTCCTTACTAAGTGGACAATTCTTGGCCAGAACACAATGCATTGTGGACCCAACTTTATCCAAATAGTTAAAAGTCTGGCTATACAAGATTACTGCCAGAAGAACTCTGTCTGTATGAGATGAATGTTTTTATGCCTGTTCGTACCTTGAGAAATGGAATGACAAAGGGACGCAGGGGAAAGTTTGTGGCTTCCTGAAGTTTGGAGTGGAACTCTTCGATAGTTAGAGTTGAGTTCTGATAAGACAGAAATAGAAAACAATTTAACAACCAGTGGAGAAAAGAACTGGAGACAGCACATACAGTTAATGATAAAGAGAGCCATCAGACACTCACCACTAGCCCCAGCACTAGGCTGCGTACACGTTCTCCAATCTCGGGCGAGATGTCATTGCCAAACTGCTGCAGTGTGGTGAGGAAACGCTTAAGCTTACAGAGTTGTCGGGCTCCACAGGCAGGGGGAAGCTGCTGGGTGGGCAGAGAAGCAGTAGAGGAGGTGGCCGGTCCATTGCTGAAGCCGTTGGGGGTCGAGGGAGCTCCGTTTAGCGCCGTGGGAGAGTGGCTGCTCCCGTTCAGCACTGAGGAAAGAGAGCCACTGCTTGTTTTAGCATCATTTAAGTCACGCCAGACTTCTTTGCTTTCATTTTTCTCCATCTCAGTCCTAGGAAGCACCCTCCACGAAGATCCAACATAGCACGAAGAGGGCACATGCATTCTGAGAACTGAAACTACAGATACACTATGACAGTAACGCAGCACATTGTTCTGTACTCTTCATTTCATCCTCTACGTTGAACAAACACACCGCGAATGGGACCATCAGCAACCTCACTATCTCTCTCTATGACATACACACATGCCGCCCACCCGGTCTATTGCTGCCCACTGCTCACACACTCACTCACTCACTAAGACACAACTATAAGAGGAACGTGTTAAAGAGGTCCCAAAAATAGCCCCCTAGACTGTGTTACTTTTATTCCAACAGCAGGTGTGTGTCTAAATCAGGCTGTGCACATGTCTACCAGCTGAGAGCAGATTTGCAGCTTTCCGAGTTCAGGCTGCCCCATCGACACTTCTACTCCATCTCCACTTCTGCATCTCATCCTTGCACTCTTTCCTCATCTTTCTGATGGTTGAGTGCTTCTTTGGTTCCTTCTCCCTAAGAGTAGGACTTATATCTTATGTTACCTGCGCCCGAAGCCATGACCACAGATAAACAAACATTACGTGAGCAGTGGACACAGCATGAGGGCTTAGAGTTACAGACCATAATCCTCCGGGACATTGGGAAGCACGTGATTGTGCAAACACACCTCGGAGGGTAGCTTTCCTTCAGGTTTGTAAACATGTTCACACTGCTGGGTGTGTGAGTGTGTGCATGGCTTCATGGTGCAGAACACAGAGTCTTTCATTTCGCTTGTGCCCCTTTTTATCTCACCATTCCAGGCTGGACACATGTGGGTTTACCATGTGACCCCCACACTTGTGTTCTGGTTTAAGAGTGGCAAGCAGGCTAAGCTACAACCCATGGAACAGGTGAAACAACAAGCCCCGTCATTGCTATATAGGGTAACGAGATCTGCCATGCCCCGCCGAGTCTGATGCTCCCTGTGAATCCCTCCGTATGCAGTAAACAAATCTCTTGCTGTGTATCCTAAGCACTCACACACCCAGACAATGGCTCAACCTATCATACACAAACACTCTTGGTCATGTTACAAGTGCATTCTGTGCTATATGAATACTCTGAACATGACAATAACTACTGTTGATCTAATAGAGACTGCTT